CAAAAAACTTGTACAGTATGAAAAAGTGCTGAGCAATATTTCACAGTAACACTATTGTAGAGCAGTTCATGCATACAGGAGGTAAGAAACCTACATCTGTGAACACATCAGTAGATGTGCCAATGTTCATTATATGGTTGTGATTTTTTAGTGATTTTAATTTTTGATAGAGGAAGACCTTCATTCAGACACTGTACCATCTGAGAAGATGTGAGGTTTCCACACTGCACCTCATGAAAAGGAAAATGGGAATTCAGTGTGCAATAGGCAGCATGCAGCAGATGTGCAGCCATCAGTCATTTAATTTGGTCACACTAACAGAACGACAGGAATTTGTTCTCTGTGGCTGCCAAGTGAGGGTAATGAAGAGCAACCTAAGGCCCTTTATTTTTCGTAATAATGAAGGTAAAGTATTAGTCTTCTGCTGCTTTCTGATTTATTCACTTGTTTATTCCACCTGTTATAACATTACTTTCAGAGAAATACACAAAAAAAATGCTGGACTGTTCCCTTATTTTGCAGCATTTGTACATGCTATACCACAGACACCGGTGAGTTACACCTATATTAGTAGCACATGATGTTAAAAATGGCAAGCTTTCCTCAAAGTTTTCCAACTATATTCATAAGTGACAAAGTAGTGCTCATTAACTTTCCTAAAGTAAGCCATTCCTTTCTACAAAGTATATTCCATATTCCATATTAAAAATATGGTTGAAATTATTTAGGAAATATATGAAAAAGTACTCACTTTAAAAAATATTTTGCAGCTTTTTACTATCCTGCCGTGTACTGGATGAACTGTGATTTAGTCTGAGTGAATGAATTATGACTAAATACAGCAGTGTAGAAATAGTTTAGAAGTCAATCTTTTAAGTACGTGGTTCTTATTACAGACAAAAAGTACCTCTGCAAATTACTAATTTTTTTGCTTTAAAAGTCAAACACATGAATAAGCGATCACCTGGCTTAAAGTTGGTCACATTTTCTTACCTCCCCATCTTTGTCAAAATTAGAAACAACTATTTCCATAAAAGAATCGTTATTCTTTTTTCCTTCATATAAATAGAATTGCAAATAGGATAACTTTGATCTGTTTCTTTAAAACAAAATACTATATAACATACGGACAGTAAAAATGTATTAAAAAAATTAGAACTGTTACTCAGATTCTATTACTGGTAAATAATAGGCAATCGAATATGTAACAGATGGAACTTCTATTACATTGAAAAACAACATTCATACACTGAAAAGAGCTATAATTCAATATCTAGAAATCCAAAGAGGGGAGAATCAATTTATGTTAAATAAATCATCTACTAGATGAAAACCAGACAGTAGATAGACAGACTTTCAGATAATTTTTGCATGCACTCAAAGTATCTTTGCTCTATCCATTTTTTTTCTGCTGATTGGAACAATAAGCATAAGATGACAAAACCAAGAAAAGATGGAAATCCAGAAATAAATCAGTCTAGCAATGAGGTGGAATTACATATGTGCTTTTAAAAGATACAGTTAATTCCCTGTTGGAATGAGCTAGAAAGCTCTATTCAGAGTAGAATGTGTAGATATTTTTGTTCCCAAACTGTGATCTAAGCTTTGACAAAAAACAGATCTGTTTTCACTTTTAAGAACAATTGGTTTAACCAATTATAAGATTTCCCAGTAGAAAAGGAGAGTTATCTCCTGTAACGTGTTTGGTATTGCTAATAGCAACACGAGCTTTATTGTATTAAAACAAACAAACAAACTCAATTCAGTGACTAAAATTTAATAACTTCTAAATATCAACCTCTCTGAAGGACCAGCATCAAGACCCATTTTGTCAGACAATAAGAAAAAAAAATAACACTTATTATAAGACACTGTTCCCAACTGGAGGAAGAATCAACCACTTTTCTAGTGCAATCTTTGTCATGTTGTCTTATTTACACATTCACAGAATGCACTACAGTGAAGTACTTCCACCTCTTCAGAGACTTAGTATTTCATTTTAAACAGAACATAATGTCTTCCATTGAGGGTAGGGAGCAGGAAAGCTCTCTGTAAGAGGTGAAATACTACTTTTAAAATATAAAAGAAAAAGTATAAAGTTATTAATTATAAATCCTGTCTACAAAGAAATATATTTGAATTTTCAGGTATGCCATCTTTTCTTTTAGAAAATGACATGTACTGAGTCAAAGAGGCATATGCCTGCATGTGTTTTATTTTCCTTTGGGACTTCATTACAGCTTGAGGGTTAGCATAGGCGTCAAGGAAGCCTCTTGAACTTCGCATCAGTCTGGTTCTAATTGGCCTTTGCTGTTTTCTTTTTTGATGAATTGTGACACCTACACTACAGGCACTTCTGTACAGACACAGGGAACAACTACATAGGTTGCTCAGAAAGTAATGTCTCCTATCTATTTGCATGGAAATTACCATAGGTACAGAAAGCACAATAACACTATTTGTTCAAACAAGTTCTCAGCTAGAGATCACTATTTTTCAACATATTCACCACCATTAGGTATGTATTTTTGCTAATGGTGAACAAGAGCCTGCATGCTGTGCTTATAAAAATCTGCACCAATGGAAGTGACCCAGTGTTTCACAGCTACTGTGATGACATAATTACTAGGAAAATGTTGTCCACACAGTCCATCTGCAGTTCACTCAAGCCTAGTGTGAAAAGCACTTGCCAAGAGGGGAAATTTACACTCTTTCACTTTGTAGCTCAGCTGATCCTAAATACTGTTACTGATACATTTTCAGGCATGAAATTCACATTCAGTTTCAGATTGCATTCATTTAAAACATTAAATGAAGAGGAGTGAGAAACTGACTTATTCAAAAGAATCAATCTATTGTTTAGCTATGGAAAAACTCTCAAACCCTAAAATCTCCTCAAAACTGCAAAAGTAGTAGTGTAATATCCTCCTGTCTTAGAATATTCAAGAGAGTATCACAACTGCCAAATTCTCACATAGCACAATTCTCAAGTCATAATACCACATTTAAAAGATGTCATATTTTCATACAAGCGAATTTTATATTTTAATTCTGAAAGCTTTCTTAATATTTTGTGAGAGTAAACCATGAGATAATACACAAATTATCTCTATGTGAAAGTTTTATTCATGAAGATAAGGTATACTCTAGGAATTTCACTCTTGAAGTTTGCAAAGCAAACAAGTTGTTGATCAGGCACCTTTGTTACTGCCACAGGCATCACTCCTTATTTGGAGAGAACACCACTGGTGGAGCAAGCTTTTTCACTGGCCTCTTCTCCCAGGCAAATAGGACCCGAGGAAATGGCCAGAAGTTGTACCAGAGGAGGTTTAGGTTGAACATTAGGAGCAACTTTTTATCTCAGAGGGTGGTCAGGCACTGGAATGGCCTGCCCAGGGAGGTGGTGGAGTCACCATCCCTGGCAGTGTTCAAGAGGCGGTTGGATGAGGAGCTACAAAATTGTGGTACTGGGAATGGGAGGGTGGTTGGACTAGATGATCTTGCAGGTCATTTCCAACCTTGTGATTCTATGATAAGTAAAATTATTGGATAGGAAATCAGATGAGCATGAACAAGATCAGTTCAGCTATGAAAGCAACACTAGTTAATACCAGGTAATACTGGGCCAGATAATAATACCAGAAGGTAGGAGGAAGTAATGCTAACCATCTTTTGTGTGTTCTATATTTGCCTGTGACATTGGATGCTAACCAGCATCAGGTTCTTTTATTTTCCTTAATTTTAAAATAATGGATTATATCATGAAAATACTGTGCATATGCAAAAACTGTAAAAATATTTTCCTCTTTAAAGCAGTAAAAGTTCTGCAATATTTTCTTCAGTGCTTTAAATCCCATTTGAAGTGAAAGAAATATCTTACTCTGCACTCTTATGATTCATTCTCAGCTGCAAATCTGTGCACCACCCAACCATCTCCAATTGGAAGTTGTCCTTGATTTTACAAAGGCTGAATGTCTACACAGCTAGTAGATGAAACCACAAATTTTTTAACATGTGGAAAAGCATTGAGGCAATACCGAGTAGCCAAGAAGCAAACCAGCCTTCATAATAGTGAGTGGCTGCCTATCCTATATGGAGGATAATGGCCCCACAAGATGGAGAATGTCTAAGTCTCGCACTAATTTGTAGTGTCTGCCAAAGCATTTGGCATTACATTCAAATCCTGTCTTGTCCCTAGGCATGTACTTTCAGTGCTGCTTCTCTCCATAGAATAAAAAGCAGCACAGCACAAAGACTTGAACTAATAAGACTAAACAGAAAATTTGACTGTATTTATTATTAAGATTGCGTTAGCCCAAGCCCCACAGCCGCTATATATTCACATGATACATTCAGGAAAGGAGAGCTTCAATAAAAGCTTTTGGTATTAAAATCTAAATGAATATTTGATACATAATTTCAGTGAAAATATTTTGCTAAATCTATCCTGAAGTCTTTCTTGTTTCATATTGTTTCTTACTGCAATGCAAAAACACATTCTAGTTAAGTACAACGAGAAACAACTGTTTTCTTTTTCTGAGCTCATATTTTATGTTCTTAACTTTGGGGTGATGAAGGTTCATTAGACTAGCACATGATATTTTGAAAACATAAAGTAAAATATCTTTACCTGGACATGTGCTTTATATAACCACGAATTATTTGTAAACATAAGAAAAAAGTGACAAAATAATCAAGAACCTTCTCTATCAAATGATGTTTTCTATTGAAAAATGAGAGGCACAGAATGTAATCTCTATTTATGATCTGACTGAGAGATCAACAACTAATATAAGGTCAAATTACCAACAAATCGAACAAGTGGTCCTTGTAATGTATTACTGTATATTATATATATATATATCATAAATATATGTATATTATTGTATATACTATATATGTATTATTTCTTTACTGTAATAAAATTATAATTACTGAGTAAAGCATGAAAAACACTTTAAAGGTAATATCTGCAGAGATGCTTAAAAAAAAATACTTACATCGCTTTCATGGCCTTCTCTTAAATTGTAAGTGAGATCATGCTGTATGTCTTCAACAAACTTGTGAGCATACTCTGGGTAAAGATCGAGGACTTCAAAGAGACCTTTGAGGATAATGCACTGGAGGTCACAGTAAGTTAGAGCTTTAACATCTGCATTTGTTTTAATGACTTGATCCCTAATGGATAGGTTTGCTCCAATTAAATCTCCTTTACCTAGAAGAAAAAAAGGAAAAGAATCAACTTCAAAGCAATGTAGTTCTTCACTACTGTTTTGTTATTAACATAACTCTGTTTAGCAACTGCTAAATTTTAAAACCCATAGATCCTAATGAATTTTTTAATTAATAGCTTTCAAAAGTACTGCTATCTAAGAGCTGCCTCTGTTTTTCTTTGGCTCTCTTTTTTTGTTTCAGGAGCAGCGTTGCATGCAATTAACCAGAGGTACAAAGACTAATTTATGGACATGTAACTACCTCACTTAAGGGAGTGACATTGGAAACATATATAAATAAGAAATAAAAATATATTGAGACTTATTCCAGTACTTAATAGCAGATAGAATTTTCTAAGTTGCTTCTGTTTTGTTATTGGTTTTTTGTTGAATTTTTTTTTTTTTAATTTGAATAAGCAGGTGTTAACATGAGATTTTAACAATGACATGATTAAATGTAGATACTACTCAAATTAAGATTTTACTCAGAATTTTATTGTAAAACACTTGCAGGTTTTGATGTTTATAGCTCCTGTTGCTACACTTCATGATATCTTAGCTGTAATGAGAAACAATAAAGGGGGAAATTCAATAGCACTTCAGTCAACAAAAAAGATGTATTCATAAGCCATTATATTTTCATTTATGGACAACTGGCCATATATTGAAGAACTTAAACATTTTCTATTGAAGAGTCTACATAAACATTTGATCTGAGATATTAGATCCAAAGAGCATTCATTGACAAAGGTTTACACAGATGGTCTTTATTAAAGACCTGGACAGTGCGCAATGGATCACACTCTTAGTGAGTTTATGGAGGGAGCTTTATGAGTACATCGGAGGGAGTAGCTGATATGCTGTGGGGAAAAGCATATGTTTTTCTGATGACCTTAACAAGCTGGAGAAAAACGTCTAATGAAATTCAGTAAAAATAAACATCGAGTTTTGCACCTGGAATACCTCCCTGTAGTAGAATGGTGTGAGGGATAACTAGCTAGAAAGCAGCTCTGCAAGGAGAATGCAGGTGTTCTCATAGAGGAATTGGACACAAACTAACAACGTGCCCTCCCAGCAAAGTATGTCAACAGCATCCTGGGCAGCACTAGCAACACTACAGTAAGCAATTCCTAAGGAAGCGACACTTTGCCTTTATGTGACACTTCTCAAATCACATCTGGAATATCATGCCTGGTTTTGGATTAATGAGTCATCAAAATGATCAAGGACTGGAGAATGTAATTTGCAAGAAGACACAATCCCAAGGTAGTGGAGCAAAGCTGACACAAACTGTGGCTTGGACTGACTGACTTCCAGATATCCCTGCTAACATTTCATTATTCTATTATTAATGACTAATAAGCAAAGACTGTTGTATAATCAACAAATACACGGAGCAATATAGTTAGGCTAATATCCACAGATCACATAGCTAGAAAGATTATCATGGTGGAAAGGGATAATCAAAAATAAATGAAAATGCTCACCCATATCCTGGGCTTGCAGAAAAAGAGAGCAATCTCCAGAAAGAGATCCTTCCCCAGCAGCAGTCAGCCCTTAAATGGGGTCTAGGAGAGGTGCAGCCAGACTCCACCTCTTCTAGTCACACAGCTGAATTGCCTTCACCTGTGCTCCCATGGCTGACTCAGTGCTTGCCTCAGGTGATCAATCAGAAGTACAGGCCATGACTCAATAGTTCCCATTCAACAGTAAAACCAGAAAATCCATCTAGTGTGTCATTCCAGCTGGATGTTACAGAGGAAATGGTGTACTTCAAGAGTAAGTCAAGCTGAGCAGCCAACCAATCCTGAAGCTATTTAAATAATATAACTTGCTTTATACTACTTGCAATTTTTTTCTATTTATTTGGAGGCTGTAAAACGTTCTCAAAAATGCTCATCATAAGCCCTGCATATGCAGAGGTTTTCTTTAATTCTAGCAATAAACACACGTTTATGTTCTTTTAAAATTGCAATTAATAAGAATCAGTGCTAGAGAACAGTGGATCTGATAAATCACAAAGTTACATATTTCTGTTTGCTCATCACATGGTGCACTGTTTACATAATTAAATAAACTGTGAAACTAGTAAATAAATGATCTTTACTTTTCTCTGTGAATATAACCAATTTTTTTTTATTATTTTTTTATTTCTTTGATTACATTAAACAGATGGCTGGTAAGGTTAATCTTCACTAGTCATATATATTCAGACAAGGGAAAAATATTTCAAGTTTTACAAAAGGAATTTCCAAGCATCTTAATTAGAACTTTTTAGGTATATGAACATTGTTAAATTCATAAACTCATAAACAATTTTGAAACTGTTTTTGTTAGAGAGAGTCAAGAGGAGAGCCACAAAAGGCTGGAGCACCTCCTTTACCAAGACAGGCTGAAGGAACTGGACTTGTTCAGCCTGGAGAAGAGAGACTTACTGCAGTATTTAAAATGAGATTTAAAAAATCTACAGGGAGTGAAGACTCTCTGCAGCCTTTCAGTATTTAAAAGGAGATTTAAAAAAGAAGGGGAATCAACTTTTTACTTGGGTAGATAATGATAGGACAAGGGGGAATGGTTTTAAGTTCAAGAAGGAAAGGTTTAGATTGGATTTCAGAGGGAAGTTCTTTACAGAGAGAGTGGTGAAGTGCTGGAACAGGCTACCCAGAGATGTTGTGGGTGCTCCATCCCTGAGGGTGTTCAAGACTAGGCTGGATGGTGCCCTGGGCCATCTGTTCTAGTACCAGATTTGGAGGTTGGTGGCCCTGCCTGTGGTACTGGGGTTGGAATTTGATGATTCCTGGATTACCTTCCAACCCAATCCATTCTATGATTCTATGAAAGTTGCAGTTATATTTAGTCATTGTTACACAATTTGATGACATAGTGTCAGTCTGTACGTCAATATGGTTGATCTGACATATGCTAATTTTCATTAAATTTTGAATAAAAACCATGTAGCAAAGACTGTAGCTAGTAAACTAAGGATTCTTAAGAATTACTGTGGGAGTGAGATGATTGTGTCTTTAATAAGAACATTTGTTGTGTAAAAAAAAAAGTGAAATATAAAAATATATCTTAATTATCATTATTAGATAAAAAGTGATAGTCTCAAGAGAAATAAACAGTTGTATTCAATCAGGGCTTCACTTATTGCTGTATTGCTTGTTAGTGAGAGCCATTCAGCAATCAAAATATATTCCACTAGAATTAGAATAGTGACAGTTATAAAAACATAGTCTGGGAACTGTTAGTAATGCAGTATTTTCATGAAAAAAAAGCTCTCTGAGATTTACATCACATTAGTAGCATAATTTCTCATATGGACCTACCAATTTGATTCACTCACCTTATGCTGATGTTAATTAGGTTTAAATGTTGAAGCTCCCATTCATTGGACTGAAACATTGTCTCACTGTATTATGTTTATGTTTCTGCATTACGATTTCATTATTTTCTCTCAGAAATCCACTAATCTTTCTTACTGTTGTCATTGTGACCATTACACAATGATGCTTTCTTTAAATTATCAGAATTGCCTGAAAATGGAGTTATCAATGAAATCATAATCCCAGAAGAGGTGGTTCTTAATCTTCTGATATACTTAAGATTATGTTTTTTCTAAGACATATTTCGTTGCTTTGATTTATGTGATCCAATAAGATAGGAAATCTTAAGCTTCCTTATTTAAAATGAGAGACAGAGTAATGCAGACCGTCAAGCTAATGGAATTAAATAGTTATGAAAGAAATAGAACATGTATCACATTTATATTCTAAAATAATTTTAAAAAAAGGCCAATGAAATGCATATTGGTAAAGTAAAGAAAATTCAATTACAGAAGATCAGAAGCTTGCATTATCAACCATCTAGTGCATTCCCACTCTAAAGCAGGAGAGAAAGTAAAAAGGAAATGTTCTTTTTAACTCTGATTTATGAGAATATTTAAGTTATTAGAAAGAAGAATATGTAAAATAAAAATTATACATTTTACTTTATTAGAACACTTTATAAACTTTGACAAGTCTAATGGTCTTTTAGCTGAAGATAAAATGAATCTCTTTAATTGGCATTAACTGAGGTTATCACTGAAATTTACAAATACAGATGTTTTACTTTAGATCTGCCAACACACTCATCTAGCAAAATAAATTGAATTTATCAGAACAGTATTTCTGGCCTTTTTCTGTTCTAATATACTCAGGTGAATGCTGGCAGAATGAATTAGATTGAAGAAGTAACTCTTGGTAGAGCAGAAGCAACAATGCAAAGGCTTTTCTAAAATTGGTGTTCATATTCAATCAGCAAAGAGAGACTGGGCTTACACTGGTTGCTTTAATTTGGGAGCATTAGTGGGAACAATGCCTGGCCACTAATTTTTGTAAAGTGTTAATGAACTCATATACAGCATCCTCTGAGATGTCAATGCTGCTATCAAATTTGGTCGAAAGTAGCAAATTGTACCAAAAAGCTTGAAAGTACCTCCTTATATACAAAGGAGAGAGAGAATAAGTGTATGCAAATCAGATTACAAGTGAGATAACTATATATATATATATATATATATATGTATGTATAGCTAATAGTCTAGAAATTTAAGCTCTGCAGGGCAAAAAAGAAATAACTAAATGATTCAGGGAAGATCATAGCAAATTAACAGATGAATAGTGGATTACAATTGAAACAAATTATAATTCTCCTTCTCATCAGACTAGGACACACTAAGCCAACAGTTTGCAGTGAATTCACATTCTGGAGATGTGTCTCTTCTTTCACTAACATTAGTCTTAACAGAGCTGCCTTCCTTGGAAATCTGAAGCTATCATCATAAGCATACCAAGAATTGCCAGCACTGTGCTGTCCTTTAGGACTTCCATGGAACCTGAGCACACAAAGTATATCGCTTGCAGGGCGTCTCCCTGCCGGAGGAGGTATTCCCCAGGAGCACAGAAGGAGGTTTTGATATGCAGAGACAGAGACCTGAGGCAACCACGGCTGGCACACTCGAAAAGGGAGAGCTGCAAAATCTCTTTGTTTAAGTGCATGGTGATGTCCGAACGCAGCTCGTCTGGGAAATCTTTTAAAAGCTGTCAAAAAAAAAGAAAAAAAGAAAAAAAAAGAAAAAAGAAAAAGAGGTGAAAAGGAGAAAAAAGTGCAAAATAATTTTTTTTTTTTCTTTGCAGGATTGATCTGATTTAGTATTACTGCACACATCGCATTGAGGTATTTGATATTTTTCTTATCTTGTTTGATAAGATACATGTGCTATGTCTTAATAAATCTTTATGCAGACAAACACTTAATTCCTGGAAAAACATGAATAAAAGTATGGCTTTATGAAAAAAAATATAATGCATAATTTAATCTTGTCTGAGTACTTCTCATTTCTCAGAACATAGTATTCTATTCAGGCACATACGTTAATGAGCACTAGGCAATGTGAACTTAGTTTATGTTTTCTTTAAAAAGATTGCACAAAAGTCATGAGCAGGCTATATTTTCTGCTGTATGGTAAAACCACTGGAAGAAGAAAACTCAGAAAAAAAACCTCTATATAGATAGTAGAGAAATGTACCTTAAGGCCTCAGTTGCTAAAATGGTCTGAACTCAGAGAATGGCGGTCTACTGGGGAAAAAAGCTTATATAGAGCTTTCAATGCTTCCAAGCTTTTTTTTTTTTTCTTCTTTTTTTTAAAATATTCTGTTACTTTTTATGATGCTATAATTGTATTCCAAAAAAGAGAGAAAGAATATTGACAAAGTGCTTATTCCGTATATTCTATGGAAAAACTAAAAGTAATACCACGTGGTGTTACTTAGTCTTACTTCTTTGCATATTCCCATTGGAACTTGGCCAAAAGTTAACGATTTCTATCTACATATGTTTCCTAAAAAGATCTGTTTGAAGATGAGAAGATGACAAAATTAAGAAAACCACCTTCTTAACAAAATTCTGCTACATTCTGTTGCCATGCAACAGATGGCAATAGAAAAGCAGTCTGACAGGATGGTGTCTGACATGGAAGTGCAGATGAAGCAAAGGTGTGGCACCGAATTTCTCCACGTGGAAAAAATGGCATCCACAGACATTCACTGACACCTGCTGAATGTTTATGGAGACCAATTGATGGGTGTGACTGTGACAGTGGGTCACCTTCATTGGTGCAAATGATTATGAGCAGAGCATAGCAGAGCACGTAGGCTCTTGTTCATCACTGGCAAAAATGCAAAGCAATGGTGGTGCATATGCTGAAAAATGGTGTTTAGTAGCTGATAGTTTGCTCTGTAAAATAGTGTTTTGTGCTCTTTGTGTCTTTTGTAGTTTCCAGGAAAACAGATAGGAGATGCTATTTTTGGAGTGACATATTAGTATCTTTGAAAATCTCGCTATGCTCCTCTTGCTTAGATGGTGTTGAAAATCTCATCCATTGTGCTGTGCACATGAAAAGAATATTCTCAATTTTTAGCTGTGTCCATGTTATCTTTAGAGGCCACTGAGATTTTATAATGACAAATATCACAATGGCTCTGAAAGGAATGCTTCATTCAAATCGCACTCCAGCAAAAGAACAAAGACGTAACTGGAAATATGTCCTGTGTTTTAATCTCGTGTCATTTTCTGCAAATTTATCAGTATTTAAGAACAGGGAAATTAATAACCTCAGCATTCCGACAATATCTTCCAGGACAAACCACTTATTTACAGTAATACATAGAAAAAAATGAATAAATAAAAGAAAATGAAGGAAGGAGGAATGACGAGTAAAAAAATAAAAGCAAACAAACAAGCAGGAAAAAACAGTAGATTTTGTTTGGAGAAAGCAAAGTGTTCTGTGTGGTGTTTCTGGCATCATCCAAAAGTTTTTTGATGAGATCTCTTCAACAGTTCTGAATTATGAAGGACTCTGAGTCTTTGATATGTATGTTCCAAAACAGATTCTTTGATAGCATATCCCTCCTGGAACAGCACAGCTTTAATTTTAGGAATGTTGTCTTTCATATATAATATCACACAAAACACAGTATCTCAAACAGAAGATTACTCCCTTCCCTAACTCTAAATCAGCAGACAAAACTATCAAACACACAACATTCTCATTTGGTTACCTCATTGGAATCAATTCCATTGTTGACAGACCACGTGGTTTGGAAATATTCAAGCATCCTTTGCTTTAGCTGCTGTGGCAGGTGGTGGACCCGTATAAAATCCTTCAGATCCTTGGTTCTTGTGTGATAAAGGGACCACCTGGAGTACATCCTCTGAATTATGGCAGTCACATTACCAAACACCAAGGCATGCATCAGAGCTAGGGGGACAGAAATTACGTGCAGTATGGAGAGACTTGTTGAGCATTAACGTATAACATAAAAAGTAAATATAGTTTTCTGGAAAGTTTCCTGATTAACAGATAAAAATTCTTTTCCATGAGAAATATGCAGTAGTGTTCATATTATTATTCTTTTCCTTTTTTTTTTGCGTCACTAATAGTCATAGTCATGAGACAGGATAGAGTCACATCTGCTGCTATCTAGTCAGATTTTAATACAGAAGAATGTTCAGGCCAAATAAAGCCTATTGCCTAAGAAAAAAGAAAATATATGAATATATGCAAGCAGGCATATTTGGGAAATAATAAGGAACTAATAAGACAAAGATTGGAGTAAAAAGATCTGTTAAATAGATTGTAATAGATTTTGGAAAATCCATGCAAAAATATAGAACTAAAGAGTTGTATCGAGAACAGAGTGGAATCAAGATAGAAGGTCATATAAACTGTGAAAATAATTATCAGAAAGTTTGGACATCCAGGTGTTTGTCTACACTTGGAGACTAGCTTGGGAATAAAAATACCAGAAGCAAAACTGAAGAAATGCCTCCAGACACAGGTCACCTGGGTTTGTCTGTTCAGAAATACATTTGCGGATTATCAAGGGGAAAACTTACTGCTGCATTGTCAGTCATGTGGTGTTGATCTGAGGTATATAATACACAGATTTACAAATTGTTTATTGAAAAAAAACTGTTCAAGAGCTTGATTTTAATTTTTAAGATGCCTCAGAGGCATCTATCTTTATAGTACTTGAAAGGAAGCAGACTCCTCAGAGTAGCAAAAGAATTGGTTTATAAATCAGACAAACAAGATGTTGATATTGTATGGCAATTTAGAGAAGTTCAGGGTAAACAGGCAAAGACAAGATTACTGGTACAAAGAAAAGATGTGTTTGATGATTAACAATTCTTCCTTGTGGTAGAAAAGGGCAGAAAATTCTTTGCTTTGGAGTGCAGCAAATTTACAGAGTCTAATAAAAAGGATCTAGCAACAATACTTATGTCTTTACTGTGAAGGGAGTGCAAAAAAATGGAGAAAGCATTACTCATGTGGTTTCATAACTGTGGAGTGCGTATTCACATATGACCCATTGTCCAGTTGTAAAAGAAGATAAACGAAAGAGGAGAAAGGAAAGAATCAGATTTGACTATTAGAAAGAAAATATATAATTCAGTTTATTTTTAAGAAGAGTCAGTTGGATTAGCCAAGTGTTGTTGCTGATATTGAAGTGAATTACTAAATCAGAATCTTGTTCAGCAAAACACAAGAGGCTTGTGTAATGTTTGATAACAGTGTATTATGATAGAAGTATTCAGTAGGGTTGAAATAACTCAAAGCTGAAGATAGCGTAGCACTGTGTTTTGAGTATATGATATTCACTTTAAAAAGGTGCAGAGGTATAAAGCACTCTGTAGATTATGGATGCATATGCAAAAATCACATCAATCCCCATAGGCTTCAAGGTTAGGAGCTGAACAGCGTACAAAATTTTGCAATGTTATTGGCATACATATGATCAAGGATTGTGTTATTATTGGAGAATCTATCTTTGCATATGTACATTGGACAACAACTTATACTAATGATAATTTATTCCTGGCTGTGATAGTAATTAGATTTCTTTAGCAAATAATCACAGATCTACTTTGTTTTCTGTACAAAGTCATTCATTCTCTAAAAGGAAGCAAGACAATTTAAAACTTAAAGAAATCACATTTCATAAAATGTATTTGGTTTAAATGTTAATCTAAAATAGTTTTTTCTTGCTTATGGATAGGAGGAACACCTCTGATCCCAGAAATGACTAGAGCTATTAGGCTGGGCCTCCAGTATCTCTAATTACAAAAGCATAAATTCTTGGCTCAAAGAACATGTAGAAAATTTAGAACACGTACAAAACAATACAAAACAATTAGATCTGTAGGAAGATTAATCTGATTAATATTATATAGATGCTAGGTATCGTATGAATTTTGGCTAAATTTTAATAAGTAAATTTTGTCACCAACTTGAAGAAACTCAACAAAGATGTTTTATCCTCATAATAATGTTTGTCTTATTGTAAGGTGATGTGAGTAACTGAGAATTTATTCCAAAAGACAGTAATGCATATTAAAAACTATTACTAAACCAAGTCATACTACCCATTCTACCTGAAATTTCATAAAGTAATGGTTTGGTATGATTACTGTAAAAAAAATTCTAATTTTCTCGAGACATTGCTTTCCCCCAGGGAATCTTAATATTAAATATAAGACAAAATCTCACATCAAAGCAAGCCTTAAGAAATGAAAATACATTATACTCTAAAGCATACAGAGCAGCATTTTACTCCTAATAGATTTCAGAGCAGTCTGTGCTGCATGGTGCCAACTCCTTCATGTGTCCCTGCTAGGCTGATTTACTCAAATGTAATCTAAAATAAATTTTTGGGGAAAACATCTGCAAAACAGACTGCCCTGCTTTCTTACCTGGATGTATCAAGTTTCCTGTGCCCTCCCAGGTGTCAAGCCACTCTTCTGCTGCCCTTGAATATTTTTGCCTTAGACTTCTCATTTCACTCTTACTACATTTAGTTGACTTTATGCAGTTCACAAGCATATTAGATCTAACACTCAGTAATATAAGAAATGGAAAAGAAATTTCTATGCCTTGGTTAAATAGAATTGTTGGATACTTTTATATTATGTTCTATTAGGCTTGTGAAAGCTCTGCCATATCAAAATGAATGAAATATTCATCATTGCCTTACTCAGAATATCTCTTGATTTCTTGATATAAGTGAATATTTCTTCCATCATTCCAAAAGATTTTATGTAGTAAAAGCCACAATGCATTGTATTTTAAAGCAGCATAACATTATGCCACCAGCAAAAGTAATTAATGAGTTGTCCAGTTTTTGTGACATTGTCAAAATTGTTGAATGTTTCATTTTATCATTGCCGCTCATTTTCAGAATAGAGAAAAATGGAAATAATTGACTGAGTATTTTTAACACCACTGAATGCAATAAATATATCTTTTGCAGGTTATTCATCATGTTTCCTGTCTTCCAAGTTTAAAAGTGTCAATTTAATTTCGGCCAAGAAAATTTATGCTGCAAAAATGACAACCAATGCCTTGCAAACAAACCTTCTGGAAATGTTGGCTGGTAGAAATAACTTATAGTATGTAAAAAATAGAAAAAAACATGAAGGGTTCATTTGTCCTTCATAGCCACCATGATACCTTAGAGATATGTGATGTATGTACTATAAAACAGAAAAGTTAATTTTTTGGTAAAGTAAATAGTAAAATAAAGTAAATTGCACGGCTTGGGCTTATGAAGCTCTGCAGGTGTCTCTAGCTCATGAGTGTGCCCAGGTTCCTGAGCAGGAAGGTGACCCCAACAATAGCACTAAGTAATTAACATTAATTTACAAATCCAACTAAGAGCTCCAAATATAACAAAAATACTGCAATTTTGAAGCAAATCTGAAGTAGGGATGTGGAAAAATTTATTTAATGATAATTGAACAGCTTTTTCCTTATATTAGAGTCACTTATGGCTCACCCAACATTTCATCCATCTCTATTTTGTCTCTGCTGCCTTCTCTCTGGGCTAACCCTTTACATATAGAAACATCACAGCTCATAATCAGATGCAGGTTTGGACTATCATCCTCCCTTTGCCATTCTTCCCAGGGCTGTTGTGGGAACTGAATTGGAGTTCAACATGCACTTATTATTTGACTGACTGGGATTGTATCAGACACATAATCAGAAGACAGATGCTCCCTTGTGCATTGTTGGCACCCACTCACAATACGATGAGTTTGTATTTTATTGGATGATGACTTCTCTTACTATTAAAAGCTTGGAGATAAACCTGCATGAGAGAGTTTATCCAGTTTAAAAACAATAACATTTTTTTCCTTATTTTTGTTATTTAAAATTAATGATTGTTTGCTCTTAAATCAAAACCTGCTCTTGTTTTACTTGCTCTATCCCCAAAACAATTCATCCGATGCTTAGCATTGTACCTACCTCCTATGAGCATTGTGCAAATGGAGAAGATCTTTTCAGCATCAGTATTGGCTGAAACATTTCCAAACCCAACACTTGTGAGGCTGCTGAGGGTGAAATACAGGGCAGCTATATAGGCACTTCTGATTGATGGGCCTCCTAGTGTATTATTGTCGTAGTAAGGAGACTCTATTCGTTTTCCTAGCTCATGAAGCCAACCTGGAAAACATAAAAGGAATAGTTAAGGAATACTGAAATCATGAATACTACACACTTTTTAAAATAACATGACACTATAAAATGCTTGTTCAGAAGACGCTGTATTCTACACAGGATTCCAAGAATAAAAATAAATGAAACTGCAAGAATTTATACAGCATGTAAAAGATCATTTCCCTCGATAAACGGATTTCTCCATAATATCTTTGAATTGTACATTACAAGTCTAATTAGATAATTCACAAAATCCACTAAGGGACAGAAAAGGAAAAATCATCACATAGTGACACTGCAACAAGAATGCAACATTGATTGATTTGATTCTTTACATTAATACATGCTTGGAAAGATTTCTGGGATTCTAAGATTAAAATCTTAAAGTAATAATTATGTATTGTGAACCTACTGCACGTTTATATTCACTACAGAAAAGATTCAGACGACTAAGCAGAACAGACAAAACCATTATTAATTATTAATTATAATTATAATTATTATATTAATAATAATTAATTGAGACTAAAATCAGTTTGTGTGCTCACTTTTGTGTGTTAAGCTGATGGCTTAGATGGTCAAGTATAAAAATCACAATGAAATGTTCTTAGTACTTAGGGTACTTTCAGAAGTAGTAGGGCTCTCCTTGTTCTGTGCTGGGAGCTTCAGTAATTATGTCCAGTCATGTATGCATGGAAAGACTGAATCACTTTCTGAAGCTTACTTTCTTCTCCCACTCCACTCAGCATACATTTATTTATTTGGCTGTGATGGAGCAGGTGCCAGGGAGCCTCTCCTGTACAGACTATTTGCAAAAGTAGGAGATACATTTTAATTGTCTGACTCAATGTTTCCAATTATACTCCGGAAAAGTTTGTAAATATTTACCCCTCTAAGGTGAGCTGTTTGAGTTTCTACTGCTATACCACACAGTGCAGTCCTCAACACTAGACTCCTGCACACATGCTTGCAGAGAAAGCTAAGCCAAAAAGGCTGGATAATAACAGCATAAGATCTAGCCATAGCTGGTAGCATTAATCACATTTTATATTTGTGGCTGCTAATTGCCTAAAATGAAAGAAGAGCAAAAGTTGTAACTTAACTGTTGCTGGCAATCCAGCTACAAGATAAGTAGTGTCAGCACGCACCAGTAGTAATTGCATGGGGAAGGTACAATATAAGGCTTGCATCCCATCCTCAGCCATAGCAAATAATTAGAAGTGTCTGTGCAGCACTATCTGCTGAATGCTGTGAACAGCTTATGCGTGCATACAAATAATCAATACTTTAAGGATGAATGCTGCAGAAACTTGAAGCAATTAATCAGTTTTGCAATTATTGTGGTTATATTATCAGGGTTGCATTGATGCCCTACTTTTCTGCTGGTTTAGGTCTTGCTGCTTCCTCCTGCAGTGTTATCTCACAAAAACACCATTTCTTCAACAATGATATGGTCCTTAATATAGCTGATTTCATTTCTATGCCTGCATTAAAGAATGCAAACCCATACATTAAAGAACAAAAGCTTAATACAATTCCTGATAGAGAGAAGATGGAGTTAATAAGTCTGTCTAAACTTGATATACAAAACTCCCATTGTACATTTCAGCCAGCAGTAGGTTTGAAAGCCTAAAATACAATTCCTCAGGAAAACATCTGCAAACCAGCCTTTTTTGCTTTCCTACCTGGATATATCTTATCAGACATATAGAGCATATGAACAATCACAAAATTGTCAAAAAATTAAATAAATTATTTAAAATAACTGTGGCTGATGTGTGGATACTAAAATAATGTCCCTTTGGAGAAAATCTCTCTTCTGGGAATGTTGTAAAAGTTCCCAGTGCTTGGCCTCTGTACTCCTATTCTTCTGTCCTTTGCTATCACTTTCACTGAAGATTCATACTGCAGCTAATTTAAAGTTTCTTCACCTCATTTTTAGCAATCAAAAAATAAACAAGCCCCAAACTGAAAAAAATAAGCTGAAAAAATATCCTTTGAACTGGAGCACATTCAGCTGTTTGATATAAAGAGATCATAAATTTTAAAACAGAAGTCTGTATATTTTATGCCTGCAAATCTAAGTTTAAGCAAATGGTTTGGAGTCATTAAAGAAAAAGTAGATGAAAAATTAGGTCCTTTTTCACTGGAATACATTTTATAATGAAAGTCAACATATGCCCTGAGAGCTATGTTAACTCCCACTGCAACAGTCCCAGTTCACTATTGGCAGCTTCTCACTTCAAACCCACAGTCAGGCAACAAGTTGATGCAGGTGTGTATGGGAAATGATACCAGCTCTTCAATAGGAAGCAGTACACTCAGATCTACAAAAGATCTTCTCATATTTCAATTGGGAAAGAATGGGCAAAGCCTGTTGCAAGGATCCCACTGATGCCAAAATTTTAGCATATATATCTACTCTTCCATGAAATACTAACTTGCTCAAAATGGACCTTAGGACAGAGCACTTGTGAAAATAGAACAAGCAAGTAAATTCCCTATTTGTAAAAGCTCTTGTGGTATCAATATCTGATTTTTATTTTTTTTTTTGTCCCAATCACCTTCATCAGCTATCTATGTTACTTCTTCAGAATGCATTTCTTTGTGCCATAGTTGAAGACAATTTAAAAAGAGGAAAACAGAACTAATATTGTATTCGAAATAAGACAATACTGTTGTTTTATATTTTTATATAACACTATCATTTTTACTATCATTTTTATGAGTTAATGTATTCCTACCTCCTTGAACCCTAGTTGTCATTTGACATTAAGACATTAGCTTTGCTATTTAAATTGCTTTCAATGAAATTTCCATAGTTGATCTGTCTCTTACTAACTAGTACAATGCATTGAAAATAAAAAGTTGTATAAACCCAAATTATTTTACTTCTTGAGCGTGCATGACTCTGAATTATTAAAAAAACACTGCCTCTGCTCTTATAACTCATTTAAAGTATTCTTCTAAATGTCCTTAAAGCTTTTTTTAATCCTGCCTAGCCAAAATATTTTTGTCAACAGCACCATTCACGTTTTTTTCTAGACTACTAATACATTATACAGTAGCAATCAAAGTACTTAATCCCATGGAACACAGCTGTTATCCTTTCATTGTCACAAAACCTATAATTTCTTTGCAGGTTTGATCTGTTATGAAATTTTGCTTGTCATATTAAGAGAGGCACACAAGTACTGGAGCAGATGGTTTTAGGATTAAAGACCCAAAGAGATGACAGGAGTAATCATACTTCCAACCACGCTTTTCTTCACATTTGAAATAGAAAAGCCCACCATCCAGAAAGTGTCATACACATGCAACTTCTAGACCGTGAAACATCTACGATATATAGTTGCACAGTAGGGGACAAGCATGGGACATGAGTTCTTTCTTTTTTCAAAATAAATACCTTAATGTGCACCTACATGGCATTTCAGCTGCCTCAGGCTACAAAAGACCAAATCTAGCCCAGAGGTTGTGTTTGAAGAAAGGATCTAGCTGGCTTTCAAAAACAAATAAAAGTTTAGTGGCAGTACATGAGAGAGAGACTTGGAAGACTTCTATATCAATACAATACACATAACCATAACAATTCCATGACAATGAGGAACTGTTAGGAATAATCTACTACCTTTGGTCTTTGTTAACACACTTTCCTACATAAAACAGAAATTTAAAATAAGAAAGAAAACAAATGTGATAAACCAAATACATTGACAATTTTCTCAAGAACCTCTGCCTAGAATTATTAAAGTAATTCCAAAAGGAATTTCATAATTTCTTTTCTTATTTTTATTTCATTATAAAATACAAACCTTGGAGTCATATTCCTTATTGCAATATGTTTAATTATTTTTTCTTACATTAGAAAAATATATGACACATGTATGAGGAACTTATAATGTGAGTTGCCAGAGGAACACCGGTTGCAGTCAAATCCTCACTACAGTCAATCCTCATACAGTCAAATTTTGTGGAGGGATATCCTTGACATGAAATAGGAAGAAATTAGATTTAACCTGAACAGTATAAAACAGTTTTATCTTAACTGCCTGTGGCTGGATTACTTGTGGTAGGAGCATGCAGGACAACTCAAGGCTGCTCTCTTCGATTCTGGGATGAGAGCCCAAGTACATGATGTGCTGCCTTGCATGTGCCATCCCTGGAAGAATTATGGAGATTAATGCTTCAGATCAAAGCAAGGCAAATATATCTGCCCTCCACAGTCTGTAGTATCACCTTTATCTTTCCTCTGTGAAACTTTAACAATATAGTTTTAAAATCTAATTTATGCCTGTTTAAACCTTTTCCACAGTATTGCTTTGTCTGAGTCATAATACCAATCTGGTGCATTCATTGTACATATTTCTCCAGATAATGAAGTGTTAACTATGTCAACTTTGTACAAGCAGATTATACTCAGCCTCTGAGCTCAGTGGACATTTAACTGCCAACAGAAAAAGGATATTACAGAATCTGTAGAATATTTGTATACAAAAGTTTTGCTTGATGAATGCTGACATTACAGATGGTAAAAAAACACACCAAAAATACTTCTAATGTGTAATCAAAGGGGAAAAAAATGTTCCCCTTTCTATCAAGTATGCCATTAAATAGATAAAATCCTTGGAGGGGAGTGATAAAAAGAAATTTATAAGAAGATTTTATGCTTCTGATCTGAGATGTTCATCTCTTTAAGTCCTAGTGCATAAATCAAAATAAAGCCTGCATTCATGTTAGTGCTGCATATTTATGTCACTATGTGAAATTATTAACAGCATATTCTGGGGATTTCTCAAATGATGGCAATGAAAACAAATGTAACATTTTGAAAAGAAAAACAGTTGAGTTTCAAAACCATGCCTTTCTTAGAAACAAAACTTGAGATATTTTCTCTCTAAAATTATTTGTGAGCATTAATGAGCAGTAAATTTTGAGATTATTGTCATATACTAGAAGTTAAGTGGACAGTAGGAGTGGATAGATTCAATAAAAATGCCATTTGT